GTGGCTAGAAGGTCGGCGTGAGTGGAACGGCGCCTGTGCAGCCGCCATCTTTGCCGGTGGCCGGCACCGCGGCGGCCTGACCTAGCGTGGAGCTCCGCCATCTTGAGGTCAGGCAGCGGCGCTTCGAGGCCGCGAGAGCTTCCGCCGGCGGGAGCCGCCATTTGCCAGCTGCCGCGGTCGGCTGTGAGCGAGGCGTGCTGGCGGTCGTGCCGGCTGGCCCCGTGGGCGTGGCTGGGAGGGAACGTGCGTTTTGGTGCGTACGGTGTAGCCAATGCTAGAGGCTTGCAAAGAAAAGCAGCCTTACGTCGTCCGTAGTCGTAAAGATACATGGAAGTCTGTACCTCACCTGAAAAGATTTATAACGAGCACAAAGAGCAGGTGCTCTAGGATGCTTTATCCTCGATAAAAAGAAAAAAAAAAGTCTCTGTGCTATATGGCAACTTGGCCTGTCTGGGGACTGCTGGTGGATTTTCCCGACCTACATCTAACATCCAAACTGCATTAGAAAACTTAAAATTGTACACCTCCCCTCCAGACCGTACAGCTGCCAACAGCAGGTGGTTGCATATGGAAAGAGCAAGCAGCTGTGAATGGAAGAAAGGCAGTCTGGAAGGTGATTACAGTGTGGGCCACAACATAAGCCCGTGTGAACATTTGGATTGGCTAAGGAGAAAGTCCTGTTCCCTCCATACCATGCATTCCCACTGTTCACACATACTATATAAAGAAAAATGCTCAAAGGAATATGTAATAACAAACCATCCCCTCCACCTGGAAACAATACAGAAACTACTGATTTCTTCAATACCAAGTAGATGAAATCGACCCAACTGATTTCATACCTGCTACTGAACAGCCAACAACTGAGCTGAAACAGGTACATCTCATTACCTTGCTTTAGAGGCGTTCATGTGCAAGGGTAGAGATTTCAGCTTTACAAAGTACTTCAAGATTCAATGAAATTCCTTCCTCTTTGAGAATAGCATCTTTGCTCTATTAAGTATAGCTCATATGTATGTCCTACGTGTGTTCATTCAATTAATAGAATTTAGTCAATACTGACTGCTATTAATCTTCTGAATAATTTAAAAATATTTATAGGAATGTAGGTAAAAACAGCACTCATTTTGCAGCTTAGAGGAGAATGAGGGAAAAAAAACGTTCTGCGTTTCCAGTTTCTATGCAGTTGTCTCAGATTGAAATTGTTATCCACATGAAAAATGTGAAATCCAAATTCAAGTAGATTTCAGACACTTTCAGTCTGAGACAATAGCTTTCATCATGTAGATAATCATCCATTGTTGTTTAGCTGGAGAAAGTCACCAATGTGCATTTACTTATACAAATCATCAACTTTTGCCTCCAATACCCTTCATAATCAAGAAAGTATCCAATAAAAATAATTACTTCCAGATCTCTATTCATTCTACTCCCGAATTTCAGAATTTCCCACTTAAGTCTATCTGTGCTATCTTTTTACCTTTCAGTTGTGAAATCGAGATGCCATACTCCAGTTACTGATCCCAGTTCAATTGGTTCCCTAAGTCAATTCTGACTTCAGAATTTTATACTTAAGTCATTCAAAAAAGGTCCAGTACGGACCTTCAAAGATTTAGACTGAAAATAAATAGGAACTATTTATGTCTGCAGATTGTTTTGTATTTCAGGTGTGAGAAATCACTCCAAACATACCAGGCGGTTTCTCAGAGTAAAAAGATCGTTTTTCATCTGTGCAACGTTTTAAATATTTTATGGGTGCACCACTCCAAAATCACCAGGTAAAAAAGATCCATTGCACTGTAGGAGCACAGGCTTTGGGATTTGGGATTCTTACTGCCTGTTTAAGGCACAGCCAACAACCTGACTGTGGCAGAGGAATATAGCTTGGGCCGCGTACAGAAATACTGCATACGCTTCCTATTCCAGGCAGAGAGTAGTGCTGCAGTTTTTCTAAGGGAGAATTAGGAAAAAAAAAAAAAAATGGGGACAGAAAGTTTAGGCTCTATCCAGCAAGTGTGCCATGTAGAAACCGGCCTAGGTGTTAAAATACTGTTAAAAATACAGAAAGTTTTTCTGTGCAACTTTCTTTTTTTTTTTTTTTTTAGTATTGTAAATAAATGTAGCCTCTAATTGTACTTTCATTAATACCACAAAGCTAATTATTAAGGTTTTTTTTTCTCTTCCTCATACCATTAAATCTCTGACTATGCAGTCTGAACATAGACACTTTGAGGAAGATCCTTTAGATGTCAAACTCACTGTTTTGGCTCCCTGCTTTCCATAGTGCTGCAACATTTAAGTTTCTATTTCCTTTGTATTGAATATATACACAATCTTTAGATTTTTCACTCTGAAGTTGTTTGGCACACGACAGTTTATTCCTACAGACATCAGACTATTCAGTTAATTTTTCTGATTAATCTTTTATGCAAAATACTGATCATAAATGTATCACCGTAACAGTAGGAGGGAGATTAATGAAAATGAACATTGTGTCAATCTTAGAATGATAGAATCATCCAGGTTGGAAGAGAACTCCAAAGATACCAAGTCCAACCACGATCCATCACAGAATCACAGAATGGCCAGGGTTGGAAGGGACCTCAAGGATCATGAAACTCCAACCCCCCCGCCACAGTAGGGCCACCAATCTCCATCCCCACCAACCGTGTCCCTCAGTGCCACACTACGTGTTTCTTGAATTCCTCTAAAGAGAGTGACTGCATCACCTCTCTAGGCAGCCCATTCCTGCCTTCATCATCACTGAACTGCACAGAAGAGCAGTAGATCCACTGTCTAAGTGCCTAGTGACATATAGATCCACTCTATATGCAGAAGGGCAGAGGAAGCTCTTGGCTACCACTGGTGATGTGCTGTGAGTTTTGTGAAATGGCAGTACTTCACCTTACAAAAGGTGCAGTCGCTGTCATTGCTATTAACATAGATATCCAGTAATGTAATTAACTCCTTCTATAAATAATTTGTGTCCAACCAAACCACTGGATCAAGTAGCAGAGCAATTTCTAGCTGCCTTTCTATGGATACTGATGTGTCAGCTTGCTGAAGTGAAGCCACAGATCCACCTCCATTGAGCACCCATTGGCATTTCAGCCAGCCAGCCCGCCAAAATCTATCCGAGAGGAGGAAGAGCAAGCGCTGCTCCTACTCAGCCTTCCTCGGCCACGCACACAACGCAAAACACAACGCGAGGGCAGCGTCGCCGTCCCGTCGCGGACAAGATGGCGGGCCGGGCCGCCCGGCACTACGACTCCCAGCAGGCGCCGCGCCGAGGCGCGCCCCGTGAGGCCGGACTACAGCTCCCGGCGTGCCCGCCGCCGCTTCCCGTCTCCGCGGTGAGCAACAAGCCCGAGGATCCCCGCGATCAGCTGATCCCGCTGACAACAGCGGAGCGGGCACTGGGCGGTGGCGGCGGGCGCCCCGGTCCTGCCCTCCCTGCCCCGCCGGGCGCCTCGCCTGCATGCTCGGGGCCCGCCCCTGCCGCCGGGGGAGGAGAAGCGGGCGCCCCGCGGCCGCCGAGGCGGGGCGGAGGAAGCGGCGGCCGGGAGCCGACTCCTCGGTCGCCGGGTGCCGGGGGAGGAAGGGGAAGGCGGGCGGCCGCGGGACTGTAAACAATAGCCCGGCCCGCGGCGCCCCGCTCGGGGTCGCCTTTGTTCGGCGGCGCGGCTCCCGGCAGCGGCCCGAGGTAGGTGCTGGGCGCACCGCCGTTACGCAACGGGGCCGCCGGCTCCTCACCGCCCGGCCGGCGCCGCCCCGGAGCCGCGGGCAGAGGGAGAGACCGGGCCACGGAGCGCGGCGCGCACAGACAAAGGCGGCGGGCGCGTCCCCGGGGGCCGTGCGGCAGCGGGGGGGATGGGATGGGAGGGGGAGAGAAGCCTCCTGAAGCCTCCTGTGACCGGGGCTGCTCGGCACCGCCGGGGTGCGCGGAGAGCTGGGGCTGGCGGAGCGCGTCGGGAAATTCCCGGCGAATAAATAAATACTGTGAACTCTGAAGGAGGAGCTTAGTTCGGGGTGAAAGAATTTTCTAGTACTGACACAACCCCGTGTGTACATATATATGTACTTGTGCATTTCTAATGCCTTTACTTCTTCTTACTAATGTCTCTGTCTGCTCTTTGCTTTAGGGAAATCCTTGCCCTTATCTGCCAGGGGCACCTGGCTGGTTTTGTCCTACCACTGAAAGCACATAATGGAGTGAAAGAACAGGTGCCAGCATTTGGGTATAACAACAAATTAAACCAACTGCATGCTTTCAGCTTAGGTGGGAGAAGAACTTCACCTGTGCCTAAGAGGGCTCCCAGGAAGGCAAGTTGATGTGTGAATCTCACAGAAACGTCTCTTAGTAACTTAGAATTAAGTACAGACAGAATTCCTGTTGTGTTTCCCCTGTGAAAAATAGTGAATTTGGAACTGACTTTCCCCCATATCGTTACTTAAAGCGCAACCGGGAGGGAAGATTGCTGCTTCAAGGAAATCTGAAGATGAGCGCCCACACGCAGACTGCAGAGAAGGGCCAGAACACGGCCCTGCTCTGCCAGGAGAGCTATGTTTGCAGTGGGACAGATGAAGCAGTCTTTGAGTGTGATGAGTGCAGGAGCCTGCAGTGCCAGCGCTGCGAAGAGGAGCTGCACCAGCCAGAAAGGCTGCGGAACCATGAACGGACCCGCATAAGGCCTGGCCATGTCCCTTACTGTGACTCCTGCAAAGGTGCCAATGGGAACATCATGCATGCCAGTATGACGGGATCAAGACAGATAGCAGCGGTGAGGTGCCAGGTGTGCAAAATCAACCTCTGCTTAGAATGTCAGAAGAGAACGCATAGTGGGGGGAACAGGAGGAAGCACCCAGTCACCGTGTACCACGCTGGCAAAGCCCAGGAGCAGGAAGAGGAGGAGATGGATGAGGAGACCAGGAGAAGGAAGATGGCTGAGAAAGTTGTGAGTTTCCTCTTGGTGGATGAAACTGAGGAGATTCAGGTAAGAGTTACTGTAGCCTGTTGGACAGGTGAGATCCTTCTTTGTTTGTAGTTTCCTCTGATGTGTATGGGAGATGAGTGATTAATGCTTGAAGTGTTACTGGCAGCAACAGTAACAAATTGTGAGTGGCTGGTTTCGGGATGAGTGTCTTGGGCCAAAGAGACCCAGTGCAGAAGACCTTGCTCACTGGTTTCTTGAAAGGCAAGTTCATGAAGATCTTTTGTGTGGCAAGAGCCTCCTCTGAGACTAGGCAAATGAAGCTGGTGAGAGAATTGACTGTACTGGGCCATACACAACTAAAATAAGAAGTCTACGTGCAAGGTGTTGATCATTCCTGAACAAAATTGTGTGGAGAGGATTGTAAATGGGGAGTGCAAATGGGAGTGCTGGCAGCAGATGTGACATATGATGAGGAGTGGGCACTGTACCAAGCAGCATTAGAGGGAAGATGAAAGCACCCCACTACCTCTTTCACCACCAGTAAATCCGTCTGATTGTTAGGAACAGGATCAAGTAGAAGTAAGGGTCCTGTAAGGAATCATGACTGTGGACCAGACGAGTCCTACAGATGCCATGGTTAAGTAATGTTGCTGGTCATAGATGTTGTTCCATGTTAGACTTTGGCCATCCATTTGGTATGGGTCTGGTTTGTAATGATAGAAATAGAACTAGGAACAGCTTCTCAGGAGACTTTATTTTAAGGTCTAGCAGACAGTGCATGCATTTACTTCATTTTTCTGTTGGTCTTTATTTTTGGTAAGCAAAAGCACTTTACAAATGTAAAAACACTCTGTAAAAACAGCAGCATGTGAACAGGTTAATTACCCAACTAAAAATTTGGTTTTGTGTTCTGGCTTGATTTGCAACTTTCATGTTAAATGTCATTTAGGAGACACTGAAATGAAGTGTGTACTCACCTGATGGCTGTATCTGTGCCTTAATTTAACATGTTAATGCTGCCAGTCATAAAAAATGGGTACTGAGGCTTAAGGGGAGAAAGAATGATGGTGACTGTGGACTGGATGATTGAGTTTCAGGTGTAGAAGCAATCCTAAACATGTGTGCTTCCTCTAAGCACACATAAATTTTCATATAATTTGTGGCAGATGCAATTATCTCTTCAAGATGCGGGTTTTTCATTAGTCTTCATCTAGCTTCTAGAGCAAGCTCTGAAATGCCTTAGAACGGGGCTGTTCTGGAAGACTCCTCACAAGCTGTGGTTGCTTCTGGTTGTACTGTTTTAAGTTATTTTTATACTCATGAATCTGTAAGCCTTATTGGGGCAGACCTTTGGCTGCCTCTTGCAAGCAAGTGCTTTACTATTTAAATGTCATGGGCAATAAAGCCAACTTCCTTATTGGAACTGTAGTGGTTCTTTATAAGATGTTAACAACTTGATCAGAACAGGGTTGAAAAAGCTCTCTGAAAATGATCTTGCTTCTTATTGAGGTCTTGAGTCAATTCTTCCATCTTGAATGATGTTCTCTTTCTCACAGCTTACTGCTTATGTGACAGCTCACAGCCAAGTCTCCAAGCAGTTTGTAAGTTTTCAATTAAAATATTTTCTAGCAGCTGGAACTTAGAGTTCTTGCTATTATGGTGGTGTTTCTGCTAGTGAGCATGAGAACCTTTATTCAGAGATAGTTATCAAATGATTAGCTCTGAAGACATGTTCTGTAGCATCTTTTGCTCTTAATACTGAACAGACAATGTAGCTATAGATAAGTCATCTTCAGTTTTTTTTGTGTTTTTGTTTTTTTTTTTTTGTGCTAGCAGGATGGTTCCTGATTACTTTGGAGGAAGTCTTTAGTTCTTAAAACTACTTTTTGTCCAAAGAAAACAAACAAACAAACAAAAACTAAAAAAAAAAAAAAACACCCAAAGCCACATAACCTGAAATGTGGAGATTCAGAGTTTGAAGGTGTGCAGCTTTATAAGCTTGGGTAGACAGGAGAAGGCTTTATCAGAATTATGGAGTCCAGTTATCTTCAACTGTCTGTTCTCTGACCTTTGGAACTTGAAGTTTGTTAGGAAATTGGAGAGGAAACGGCTTATTTGTTGTTCATGGCACATTGGACGTGCAAATGCTCGTGAGCAGTCCTACAAAATTAGGCAGAACAGGTTCTGCTTCTGAGCAAGTGCAACAGATCAAGATACTTGCTGGTGTACACTACTTGAAAGTAGTATAGTTATGTGGAAACATAGGAGAAAGAGATTTCTTTATTGCCTTGTGAAACTTGGAGTTCTTCAGCTCAAGAAGTTGTGTCCCATCTCATAGTTCCTCTTGGCTTCTGGGAGCTGGTGGTTCTGAAACTGGACGATGTTTACAGTGTGTCAGCAACAACAGTTTCAATTCCAGAAGCGGTGTAACTTCATCCATAAGGAGTAAATTAGTTTAGCTGAGAGGTAGAGATTCTTAGCCTTATGTCAGCACAGAACTGATTCAGCTATCATCGTTCTGCATAATTGTCTTTGTGCCATGTTGCATAGATGTGCTAGCCTGTTCAGGATAGCTTTGAGCTTTTTGCACTTTGCAGACATAACTGTAAGCTCAAAAAGCTGAGGAGTTCTTGGGCTTGTTTCAAATCCACTTCAAGGTGGGAAAGGTCCCATTTTAAACCATTGTGCAGCAGAAGTTTGGAGAGAACTGATTAGCTTAAGTTCATCCCTGTGAAGTGCAGGCTTCTTTGTGATGTTCATATCACAGCACTGTATCTGAGCGCCTCAAAAAGAGATTTATTATCTCATGTTAAGAAAGTGCTTCTGAAGGTTAAATCCAAGCTCATTCTGCAAGTCTGTGAAAGAACCAGAGAGAGGCTGTTCCTCCTGGAGTCCAGCTGCTGTTGTCTTACACACCACACAGCACTGTGTCTTGTGACTGAGTCCCCAGCCATCTTGGCTTATACTACTGGTATTTCCTTTCCTTCTTCTAGAACTAGAAAAAAAACAAACCCTCTTGTCCATATTTTACAAACTGGCATCTTTTGCTGCTTGGACCCCATTCTTGGTCTTTTTCCTCAGGCTATATTAGTTTTGCCTTTTTGTTTTGCACAATATTACATTTTCTGACCTTGTCTGTCATATACCTGAAGCTGACACTTCAGTCTAATTGTTCTTGATAACTGCAGCATCCATGTGTTAATTGTTTTGGACACGTTCTATTTTCCATGTTTATCTCTACTCAGAGTGATATTGTGGCAACTGTTTCCGTAGTCAATTGCTTTGATCTTGTCAGCACTCTCCTTTTTTGTTATGTTAGAACAAATACCAAATCTGTGCCTACTTTTCTAGTAAGTGTAAATCTCCCAACTGAATCTTCTGTTCTGGTGAGGTGTCCACTTTCATCTCTTGCCTCAAACTTGCTGAATTTTCAAACAAGCTCCATTGTATGATCGCTAGGGCAGCCGCACGTGGGAGGCACTTCTTTAGACAACTTAGAGAATCAATTATTTGATCACACTTTAAAATGTTATTTACACTTATATTGGTAAGGAACAACACAACAAAATGCAACAATGAATTCATGATTGAGGTTGGAATCTTCAGTTTGAGATATGATACTTTCTCACTGCCTCTCAAGCTTTTACACTGGTCTTTGTTTCTTCCTTGTACTTAATGTTTATGTCGTTTCTGGAGCAGCAGCCATTTCTGCTTGGTCTTTTACAACATGTTTGCAATAGAGTGGAGAGTTGTGTGTTGGTTTTACTGTGAGCTCTTTCTCGCTACTTCTGAGGCAAGACAGAAGAAATGCCTTAACAACGCATAGCAACAACTTGATAGCTTTATCTTGGGGGACAGATGTCAAGAGCTACCACAAGATCAGAACTTTGTTGTTGTGCCATCAGTGGCTTCTGCTATAACACTGTGTCCAAAGCTGTAATTGAGGATGTGTCATTTATGCAAATGGCAAAAAGTCTTTTGTCGGCTAGAGCAGACAGGGAAAATGCTTGGTTGTTACTAGTCTATCTTGGAATTACTGATATTTGACTAGAAACTCTCTACTACAAGACATTATCAGTTCTCTGAGTTTCAAAGAAAACAAAATGAATTGACTTTGTAACCTGTTATCAAAGAGACAGGGAGTAAAGAAAGTCTTTATAACATCCCCAGTAATATAAATTGTATGGGAGAAAGGACCATACATTTATTTCTGGATCTGCATTGTGATATCCCCACTGATCTGTGTTTCTTTAGTTAGCAGGGCATAGGTAACTGCATTTCCTAGATGCAGCCCCATTCCAGAGTTCTTTTTATTCTGGCTAGCAGGGTTAGACACTTGAAGGGTTAGGCTCTTTCCCTCAGCAAATACCGAGCAGGATCTATCTATTGCTCTGCAGATAGTTTAGATGACAAAATGAACCACAGCCTTTATTTAAACACGGAGCATTTTGTACAATAACTGACTTGTAACAGTGTGATAGCCCATACTCTTTGTGTCACCTCTTGTTAGAAAGTTGCCTGTAGCGAATGATAGCTCCTCATGGCGTTGCCTGCTTTGCTGCTGTTGCACCTGCTGTAAACTTGATGAAAGCACTGTTGTTTTTTTCCTTATTACCTCCTGACTTGAGTTTGGCCATCCCCTAGAGGTGAGACAATGGAGAGTCACTAGGAACTACGCTTTCTAATAAGTGTTTTTTTGTGGGTTAGTACAAGCTGGTTTATGTCTTCTCTGCTAAAAGAAGATCAAAATTTAAGTTTTGTTGCTTGCCTTTGTTGTAAAACAAACAAAACAAAAAACCCCCAAACATTTGTCTAACACATACTGCTAGTTTTTGTTGGGAAAATGTTCTTGGTGGGTTTTTTTTGTTTAATACTGTCTCCTGTGAGTTTCTTGGGATTTTAGTCCATGTCCAGTAGCCAGGACATGGCTGGTCACAGCTGGTGTATTTACCATGAATACAAAGGAGGAAGAGGAAATGATGAAGGATCTGTATTTTTTTTATGTCAGTGTGATCTATTTGAATCAGAACTTGTAATTTCTGCTCCTGAGCCCTGTTGTACTATTGATGAATTCCTCCTGTTTGCACTTCAGAGAGCTTTTCTTGCAAAAGTGCTTTTGGGATTTCTCCCATCCTGCTGTGTTACCAGTTTTGCAGTTCCATCTTCTACAATTCAGTGCACTAGCTTTCTGTCCCCAAAATAAAGCAGTAGGATGACTACTTTGCAATAGGAGGTTGGGAGTGCCCTTTCTTCCCCAGACATACACCAGTATTTTGAAGAGTTATTTTAGAAGAAAGGAAAAGTCATTCGTTCAACAAATGTGCAGTTCCTTTAAGACAAAGGATCTGGCAGTGTATTCTCCTCCAGCCTCTCAACCACTTCCATTTCCTGCACCATCTTGCTTTGTACAAGTCACTGGCACACAGGTATTACTATAGTGCACCTTTTACTTTTCTTTGGGGTTATTATTGCCTTGCTTTGGGCTCAAATAAAGGCAGGTGTTCATGTTCCCTTGACCTGTCTATCAAAACACCCTGCAGCTGGGAAAATAACTAAAGTAATTATTTTCTGGAAAGTGCAATTGTAATGTAAGTTTGTTTCTGAATTCCCCTTGTAACAGAGACAGTGGTATCACAGTGTCTATGCAGGTAATTATGCTTAGTATTTAGCAAAGCTAATTGTTATGGCTGCAACTCACTGACTTGCTGTCTTTTGGGCATGTCTCTCCAACTGGATGTGCCTCTGCTCCTACAGCTACCACACGAGGTTGGTAACTGTGTGACCAAATGAACATCTGGACAGAACTGAAAGAGTACTTAGAGAACAGGATAATGATCTCTACTGCTTTGTTTACAGTTCTCTGTAAAAGTTCAATGACACTCTTGAAATAACATTATTTTGCAGTTGCATTTAGCTTGAAGTCTATTAATTTTGAGATCTTCCAAAAGGAAGAGGGGAAAATGTAGGTTTTCAGCTAGCAAACAGATTACAGGCTTTTGTATAGTCATCTGCTTTCAGATGTTTTTTCAACTCATTTGTTATCTACAAGGGTAGATTATCTGCTAAAAACAATATTTCAGTCAATATTCCCTCTTGGGTTAGAGAGGGCCCCAATAAAATTAAATTACTTCCCATCCACTCATAGTAGTTGTTTTTATTTTATTCCCTCCCCACTTCCCTGCACCCTCCCCCCCCCTCCCAGAATGTATCCTGCCTTAAAGCCCTTGAAATAGCCTATTTCCTCAGTTAAGTTTGATATGCAGGATTTAACTCTTTCCTGAAAGAGAAATAAGAGTCCTGTAACTGATAGAGGAGGGCTTCACCAAGGGACTACCTCTGCCCTTTGCAGGGACCTTGTAGGTCATGTTGAAACTTGTTCTGTTTGTCTTTGAATAAACCCATGCGTGTCACTGCCTATTCTTGTGCCAGAGGGAAGGAACAGGATAGTTTTTGTCTGAAAAGGATTTTCAGTTGGGTGACAGTGTTTTCATGGATGAGTACAGAGCCTAACAGAACAAATCTCAAAAGAACTCATGGCTGGTACTGCAGTCAAGGCAAAATCAGTGGGTCCAAAGAAATTTCTTCTTAGAATTCAGACATAAGTGCTTTTTACATTGGAGCTGGACCTGCACCAGTGTAGAGAATGAGATCCAAAACTGTATGCAGCTGAGGAGTGTTGGAATCCTCACCTTAAATCCTTAAAACCTCAGGGTTTGTCAGTCCCCACCTTTGATTTTCCTTCTTTGCATCCAGTGTTGGGTCACCCAGGGTTTGGTCCTGAAGCTTTGTAGGATTATGATCTTGAAAATGCTAATACCCACTCTTCTCTTGACAATCAATGAGATTACTGAAAGTAAAAATGATAACAATATTTAAGAGTCTGCTGGGTGAAATAATATTGTATTATAATTAATATGCAAGACCTCAACCTCTAAGCATGCACCTAGATTTTTGTTTTCAACTACTAAGTCATCGTGGCACAGCTGTAGTTTTGTGCATCACTTTCATGAATATCAGCCAACCTTAAGGCTTCATAAATAGTTTTAAGTGGAGAAAACTGGTTAAAAATGTCAGATTCACCTAATGTGTTTTGCCCAGAGGCAGAGCTAAAGTTGTATGAGTACAGGTCTTTGGAAACTCTGATCTACTTTATGCATTTTGTTCCTAAGCTTTAATTTGTTGTTGTTTGAATAGTGTTGTTTCCAAGAAATTCCTGGTCAGGAATGTAATTTTATCAGTTTTTGTTTCTAGACTTTTCTTAAACAATTCTAATTTTATTATAGCTTGGAGCTAGGAAATGTGTTTTGTTAGGTATAATGCATCTTAGAGTATGATGACAAGGAGGCTTGAGATCTAAATGCATTCCACAGCAATGTGGTGTGAGGTTTTTGTATCCTCTTTAGAGAGGATTCTAAAGCTTTCATTTCTTCCTGCTGAAAGCCTTCACTTTCAATTTGACTCAACTCTGGCCAAATGACAATCGTCAAAGAAATGTGGTCCAAGCTGGAAAATAAGGCTGACCAAGATTCTAACCTGTGATGGTGTAGAAACTTTTCTTTCTAAAAATTAATCTATTTCTGAGATCCATAACAAAAGTGTAAATGAGTCTCTGATACTGGAAATGACAAAATACTTCAGGGAAGTAGAAAAGGAATTGAAGAGAGATGACTCATTTTAGGTAGATGTACAAAGTTTTCACTCTGGTTTGTCATTGCTATGGAATTTAAGGAAGCTCTCATATTTACACACTGCTGTTCATGTCAGATGTGGAGCTCTTGAGCAGCAGGGGAGCATACAAGCGGTGGAAGCATGAGTCCTTTGCACATGCAGCAGAAGGTGGTATCAAACAAAGTTCTTTAGAGATGAGGGGAAAAAACTGAAGAAATAGGACTGGAGCCCCAAATGCTTCAACACACATTGCATCCATCCTGTCTTTAATGGTCTTAATGAAACTGCACCGAGGTTCCGAAGGGGTTTGACAGCCCCTATAGGATAGGCTTACTGGTTCTGTGTCAGATGTGAGCATCCGGATGCAACCACTACTCAGGAAGGCCTGAGAGCTGATAAAGTGTGCAGGAAAGCACCCTTTTCTTATCTGAGTTCTTTCTCGGCTGTTAGAGACCTATGAGAATATTGTACGAGCTGCACTTCAGTGTATTCGTGTGCTTCTAGGTGATGTCTGAACTGCTCCTGAGTTCTGTCCTGAGATGAAGTCAGCTGATTATTGACCTGGAATCAACTCTCCCTCTGGCTCAGCAATCCAACTCTTCTTCCTGCATTAAGTTGCCCTGGCAGGGTCCATTGTTAAAGCAGACTGAACAATGGGTGTTGTAAAGATTTGCATTGGCTTGGCCTGGGACAGTCTCAGATATGGTGGAGTTTGTGCGAGCTGACTCACATTTCTTACTGGTGGGAATGCTTTGCAGATTACCCTTATCCCTGTGGTCTGGTCCCTATGATTATTCTATCTTTTGAAATTGCTGTTTTAGCCTTTTGCAGATGTTCTCTCAAGCTGGTACCTGTGTGATGACCAGTACTGCCTGGAATACCTTACCTGTTGCTCTGCCTGTGTTTAAACTGCTTGGAGAAGACTGACATTTCCTTGTGCTGCTTAGTGAATTACCAGAGTGATTAGGTTTGATCAGACACTGACTCTGGCAAAAAGCGTGCCACCCTTTTATTGAGAAGTTTGGGAGGCAGGAGATCCAGATTATGTTGCTTTTGATCATATTCTTCTTTGCTTATGTACATTGATATTTTTATATAGCCACATCAGTGATTGTTTTTTGGAGCCATCTCATGAATCAAGAACTTGCTTTTATCCACAGAAGCATCTCCAGAGGTGCTGATTGAAACTGAACCTGTCATCTCAGCTACCACAGTAATAACAAGCCAATAATCACAGCTACCAAAAAAGCAGACCCTCTCTTATGTGTGAAAATTTTGAGTGTCTCATGGCCTCCCACAGATACGAGAGAAGATTATAATGAAAGCATTTTCATTTCTTTATTTCCTTGTCTTCTCTACACTGTGAGACCGCCTTGAATGCTTTGAGCCAGTGAGTAGCTACTGTGTCCCCACAATCTGCTGTTTTCCTTTCTGAACACAATTCCCAAACACAGCCTGGTGTACTGGCTGTTTTGTGGTTTTCCTTCAAAGTCTGGACTCTGGAGTTGACCAGAGGCTGGATGAGCCTAAAACTCATTTAGTGATCCAAGAATAAACTTATAGGAAGAAACCATTCATTACCTCTTGGTCTCTGTGGTTCTGCTATCATGAGACTTGCCAAGACCGCTTGCTGAGGGGGTGGAGGACAAGTAGCCACAGAGCCTCCAGCCACTGAAGCAATCTGAAGTCTGTGCCTTCTGGCTGCCTCAGATTCCTTGAGATGAAGATTGTGATGGTGGAGATGCATTCAAATCCTTCTCAAAAAATGATTGTCATATTTTTTCCCGTCACGTAGTATGTGGAGTAAAAACTTGTTGGAAGGTGGAAAATCAACTGCTAAGCAACTATAACTAGAAACATGAAATCTTTGATAGTCAAGGCAGGACTCTGTGAGGAAAACCATGAGTTTCCTATATAGAGCCCTAAGTTGTTTCACTGCTGAGTTTGTCTGTTTCCTGGTGCTCTAGTATCTGAACAGAAAATGTTCTACTCTCTATTGTAAATACCATGGTGCTTGTCATGGGAGAGTTGTTTTTGTTGTTGTATGTTTTTTATTTTTTTTGTGTGGAAAAAACAATACAGTAAATTATGAAATGGATTATTGCAGTTGTTGTGGCACACTTGTAAAAGCCAGTTTGACCTTTTTCAGTCACCTGGCTTCAGGGCACAGCTTTGCTGCTTCTTTCATTTTCCTTTTTGTCCCACAAGACTTTGCCAGCTGGAGAGCCTCTAAGAGGCTGTGCTTGGCAAGCCAGGGGAGGCAGTGTCTGACAGCCTTCTGCTGTGGGATGGATGCAGCATGGCTGAACAAAGGAAAGAACTTCTTTTCCTTGAACGGGTGCTCAGACTCTGAATGGTGCAAGATAAGGTGACAAAAGCATTTACCTGCTCTACACTTGAGTTCAGAGGCTTGCCAGGAGACTAGTGCTACTGGAGGCATCTGTCACGCTTCATGTAGATGGTGTGGCAGGCTTGGCAGAAGGTTTTTTGCTATTATCTCTAAAAAGAGACTACCTCAGGGAGCTAGGTGACATTATAGTAGAGGCAGATAGTTACAGTGAGGCATCACCTTCAAAGCAGCAATGTGATGAAATGGCCTACGTCCCATTGATGTGTATATGTTACAAAACTGCTTTCTAGTATTTTGCTTTTGAATTCTCAGTGCTTCAAAAACTTCAGACAATCTGAACGCAAAGTAATCACTTGTTAGTCTTAGGAATCCTGGAAACAGCTATGCTGTCTGAGTTGTCTGCTCCAATTTCATAGCTGTATTTCTTTTTTGTTGATGTTCTTGTTTTCTTTTGAAGGTAAGGAATGAGGAAGACTTTATTAAGAAACTGGACTGTAGTCCTGACCAGCATCTAAAGGTAGTGTCCATCTTTGGGAACACAGGGGATGGCAAGTCTCACACCCTTAACCACGCTTTCTTCTATGGCCGGGAAGTCTTCAAGACATCTCCAGCCCAAGAGTCCTGCACGGTCGGAGTCTGGGCAGCCTATGACCCTGTCCGCAAAGTGGTGGTAATTGATACAGAGGGCCTCCTGGGGGCCACCGTGAACCTCAGCCAGAGAACACGGCTGCTGCTGAAGGTCCTGGCCATCTCTGACCTTATCATCTACCGTACTCGTGCTGACAGGCTCCACAATGATCTCTTCAAATTCCTTGGTGATGCCTCAGAGGCTTATTTAAAACATTTCACCAAGGAGCTAAAAGCTACCACAGCCCGGTGTGGCCTAGATGTTCCTCTGTCAACTTTGGGTCCAGGTGTCATCATCTTCCATGAGACTGTGTACACCAAGCTACTGGGCTCTGGTAAGTAGGCAGTAAAAAGTGACTAACTGATGTGCGAGATGCTATAGATTACCAGGTTGCATTGAATATTCAGTGCTCTTTACTACCACGTAGAAGATGTGGTTTGAGTTTTGCTCTCAGTAGTTCCAGTCTGTAAGCCAGGCTGTGGCAACAGCAGGGCGTTCCATAATGGTGGACTATCCTAGATCAGCTAGAATAATCCTCTTAGCCAGCTGGGCGTTGGCACTGGCTGGTCATGATGGGAGTTCTGCCAGCCTTGGGGAGGGGTCATAATGCGCGATCCTGAGTGTGGGTGATATGTCAGGCAAAGGTGAAAATTGACACCCTGGGATTTTGGCAGGGATATAGAGGATCCTGTTGCAAAAAAAAAAAAAAAAAAAGGAGGGGGGGCAATACAAAAAGCAAAAGCCAGAATATATGTAGATACTAGGAAGAGAAAGAATAGTAAAACTGATGAGTGTCAATACAGTACCTTCAACCTACTCTTTCAAATTCCGTGAGTCAGAGTGATTACGAGGCCAGTATGAGGTTGGGACTGAGATTGTGGTAGTGCAGAGTTGATGGTTTGACACCATTTTCTCTGCGTGCATATTTGGTATGGGCAAAGCAGCAGGGCCTGGCGCAGTATTATTCCCATCACTTTCAGTGTTCTTTACCAATGCTTTCAACTTAACTTGTTTTTTACTGGATATGTGTATTTCAATTATTTGTTTTCTTTGCGTGTCTGAGTGAAATATACTCAGACGTGTGAAGGCAGATTTTTTTTTTTTTGACTATGCAGGGATGTAAGCTTCTTCTCCTGGGCTCATTTCTTCCATATTTCAAAAGATATGATGAAACCTTTCTTCATTCCTTCTGTCCATTTCT